ATATATATATACATATATACAGTATATATATATATATACACATATATACAGTATATATATATATATACACATATATACAGTATATATAAATGACATTTTGTGGTTCTCAACCATCAGCTGACATAGTTCATAGGTAGTTTGAACTTATACCTGAACTGACTTAATGTAGCCACAAAATTTTATTTAACCTTTATTTAACCCGGAAAAACCTGTCTGAGATTAAAAAATCTCTTACAGGAGTGTCCTGGCCTAAATAAGCAGCTTAATGTAACTTTTATACACAAAACCTATACGAACAAAAAAACATGCGACATTAAAACATTTACAGGTCACCGACTCATCCTCCAATTCTCACTTTGACACCACTTGATTAAAAGGAACTGCGTAAAATGCTTACTTTATTTCATGTTTTATTATTTTATGCGTAAACCAATAAAGTGCAATCATTATGTGTGCCCAAATCGTATTTGGAGCCACTGTGGCAGCATCTTCAGCTAGTTGTCTTGTTAGCACGCTTACCTTTTCCGTGAATTTGACTAGAATTACTTTAAGTTTGCTCTGGTGGCTTTTCCCATAAATGTGTCCTTTTCCAGAAAAATCTGTTTTTCTGCAGACAGAGCAATAAAACGCGCCCATTTGGCTGTTTTGGGGTTTGTTTCTTTAGCGACTGCAAGCGTGATGTTGTCCAAACATAGTGACGTTTTGTGATTTCAAATATGCAGTAGCGCCCTCTTGTGGTTGGGATGAATTTCCCTCCCACAAAAATATTAAGCATGATTGACTTCTGAAGGATCATATGACACTGGAGACTGGAGTAATGATGCTAAAAAATTCAGCTTTGTCAACACAGGAATAAATTACATTTTAGGATATGTTAAAATAGAAAACTTTTTTTTTTTTTTTTTTGCATTGTAATAATTTCACAATAACTATTTTAACCAAATACAATTGCCTGTAAAGCAGTTTGAACTGCATCGATTTGTTTGGAAAAAGTGTTACATATTACATAAATAAAATTTGACTGATACATACACGCTGATCACAGAACCGGTACAGGATCTCCTCCCAGACCTGGATCAGGGCATCAGTGAGATCCCAGACAGTCTGTGGCTTCAGATGCTCCGATACATAATGTCCCAGAGGTTCTCATTCAGGTCTGGGGAACGTGAGGGCCAGTCTACGGCATCAATGCCTCTGTCATCTAAAAACTGCCTACACACTCTAGCCACATGAGGCTGGGCATTATTGTGCACCAGGAGGAACCCAAAGCCCACTGCACCAGCATAAGATCTGACAGCGGCTCTGAGGATTTCATCCCGGTACCTAACAGCAGTAAGGGAATCAGTGCCTAGCACATGGAGGTCTGTGTGACACTCCAAGGATATTCCTCCCCAGACCATTACAGGCCCACTGCCAAACCGGTCATGCTGGATGATGTTGCACACAGCATAACATTCCCCACGGCATCTCCAGACTCTTTCACGTCTGTCACATGTGCTCAGTGTGAACCTGCTCTCATCCGTGAAGAGAACAGGGCACCAATGTTGGACTTGCCAATTCTGGTGCTCTCTGGCTAATGCCAATCGAGCTGCATGGTGCTGAGCTGTGAGCCCAGGTCCCACCAGAGGACGTCAGGCCCTCACGCCACCCTCATGAATACATTCACACCAGTAGCCTGCTGGAGGTCATTTGGTAGGGCTCTGGCCTCCTCGCACAAAGGAGCAGATACCGCTCCTGCTGCTGGCCTGTTGCCCTTCCATGTCCCAGTCCAGCTCTCCTCATGTAACGGCCTGTCTCCTGGTATCTCCTCCATGCTCTTGAAACAGTGCTTGGAGACACAAAACCTCCTTGCGACGGCATGTATGGCTGTGTCATCCTGGAGGAGCTGGACTACCTGATTGGGTTGCAGGTACTGCCTCGTGCTACAGACAGTGACAAGGACCCTAACAAAACTAAAAAAAAAATGGTCTATGGCCACCACCCTTAAAATCACACCCTTTTTGGAGGTTGTCTTGCTGTTGCCTCTCCAGTGCACCGGTTGTCACTTTCATTTGAACCAAAGCAGGTGAAACTGTTTCACAATCACTTATGCTTACTATAATTGGACAGACTGACATCCCTGAAGTTTAAATGTCTGTGTGTGTCGGTCTCTCTCTGTGTCATAATAATAATAATAATTATTATTATTATTATATAGATTAAGGCATTCCTTTTTTAACTAACAGACACTTTAAAGAAACCACAATAGCATGTTAATGCATCTATTTATTTTAGGCACAATGTGTCATTGGAGGAAAAAAACAACACAAAACAAAAAAAAGACACACAAAAAGAAATTACACCATAATAATAGTAATAACAAATAGTGCTAACATTCAAAAGTTAATAAAGATAAATCAGACACAGCATGTCCAGTCTGATGATTATTAAGCAGACAGTCTACTAATACTCTACTAACTGCTAGTTGACAGGTAGTTGCAAAGTTACTTACTGTTAATAGAATGTCTAAAGTGGACTATCGAAATAAAGTGTTACCATGTCACTTGCTTGGCCTCAAAGCTGGATTACAGCTCTAACAGCGCTTGAATAATATCTGTAACATGGACCCAATGAGAGGGAAATCAGTTCAAACTCATTTTGCCGTTTACCTCACCACTCAGTCCCTTTAAGATCCAAGTCCTCACCTGGATAGTTCATGCTCCTTTTCAGCATTCTGAAAGAATCTCCCGTGAGTGTATTAATCTCATCTCTCAGTCTCTGTCGGCCAGCCAGGGTGAGATGCCACAGACACGACTTCCTCTTGCCATCTCCAGACACCTGCTGCGGGGTCTTTTTAAAACTGTTGCTGAAACATAGATTATGGCGGATTGTGTTTTTCCACCCATCTGGAGCTGTAAGGAAAAAGGGGAAGTGCTCTCTAGAAAGACAGAAAAGAAAATGCAATGAGAAACAAGTTTCATAATTTGGGATTTGTGTGTGTGTGTGTGTGAGTGAGTGAGTGAGTGAGTGAGTGAGTGAGTGTGTGAGTGAGTGAGTGAGTGAGTGAGTGAGTGAGTGAGTGAGTGACAGAAAGAATGAGTGAAGCCATGCTGGGAAAAAATAAATAAATGAATAATTCAGCCTACACACTCTCAAAAATAAAGGTTCTTTATGGGCAGCTTTGGTCCATTAGGAACCTTTAACATCCATGTAATCTTTCCATTGCACAAACGGTTCTTTATCGTGGGAAGATTAAAAAAAAAAAGGTTATTTTAGGAACTGTTCACTAAAAGGTTCTTTGCAGAACCAAAAATGGTTGAAATGTTACCATGACATCATTGCAAAATCAACTTTTTGGAACCTTTATTTTTAAGAGTGTACTGTCAGAGTTTGTTCTTATCCTTAAGTATATAAAAGAGACCTGGTGAAGTTATAGATCTGTTGTACGTTGAGACTGCCGTTACGGCTGCTGCTGAGCGCCATGGCGATGAGGATGCAGTAGTTAACAGGAGGCCGAGGCCATCCGCTGCTCTTCAGGTTGATACTGTCCTGCAGGGCTCTCTGAAGCCTTCCGTTCTGCGTCAGACCCAGTTTGCGAGTAGATGCTTTGGGTGTCCTCCCCTTGCACACACCCTTTACCTTACGACAAACAGGCACATCTACAGAGGAAGCGTCCTCTTCATCTGTGAACTGGGATAAGGTGGAGATAGGTCAACTACATTAGATATCATCTTATTATAATAATAATCATAATAATAATAATAATAATCTTAAACCCAATTTTATTTTTTATATACACGTGACATTCTCCTGACATAAATCTCTCAGGTTTGCATGGCATAATTGCAAAGTGGCAAACAACCAAAGTATGCAATGCTGCTTTACTCATACCCGATACTCGCTGGAGAGGGAGGTTTCGTGCATTGACTCATTCAGGCAGGTCTCGCTGGGCGCAAACTCTTTTCCAGAACAGGTGTGGTGGTTCTTGGCAGCGCTGACTGCGGTGTCGGTGTTGGGGCTATGGGGTAATTACTAGGGTACTTTATGGGGCAGGCTAAACTGGGATTCACCATCAGATTAGGTTGTATTTCAGGCTCTTTAAAAAGACAGAAACAATTAAGTTTGAAGTGCACAGTGACAAGACTTTAAGAAACTGTTAAACGTTGTTGTTCTTAAATCTTAAAGGAACATGCACAAGATTCCTATCAGAATCTTTTATAATTGGGAACCAATCAGAAAGGACCCTCAAATAAGAACTCAAATAATAAAAGTATAAAATTTTTCAGGATCATCTGGAATTACTGGATACAATGTGTACTATTTAGCAGTAATCCTACCTTTAAAGGAATAATCACACAAGGAACTATTTAAGTTTGAAGTGCACAGTGACAAGACTTTAAGAAACTGTTAAACGTTGCTGTTCTTAACTCTTAAAGGAACATGCACAAGATTCCTATCAGAATCTTTTATAATTGGGAACCAATCAGAAAGGACCCTCAAATAAGAATTCTCAAATAATAAAAGTATACAATTTTTCAGGATCATCTGGAATTACTGGATACAATGTGTACTATTTAGCAGTAATCCTACCTTTAAAGGAATAATCACACAAGGAACTATTTACCTTATTTTGCAATGCGGAAGTAAGCCAATGTGCGAGATAAAAGTGCAGTAAATTGTAAAAATATTAGTAACACTTTACAATAATGTTCATTAGTTAACATTAGTTAACTACTTTAGTTAACATGAACAAAACTTCTACAGCACTTATTAATCTTGGTTAATGTTAATTTCAACATTTATTAATGCATTATTAAAATCAAAAGTTGTGCTTGTTAACATTAATGCACTGTGACTTAACATGAACGACTGTATTTTCATTAACATTAACAAAGATTAATAAATACTGTAATGAATGAACCATGAACAGTACATTTATGTTAGTTAATACATTAACTAACATTAACTAATGGAACCTTATTGTAAAGTGTTACCAAAATATTTGTCCTACAAACCAGTCCATTTAGAAATATGATGATGCATATCAAGCATAATAAACGACTAACTCAACTTACAAATGGCCGAAACCACCATAATGTTAAAAATAAAAGGATACGAGTCATCTCATTAGTTAACTACTTTAGTTAACATGAACAAAACTTCTACAGCACTTATTAATCTTGGTTAATGTTAATTTCAACATTTATTAATGCATTATTAAAATCAAAAGTTGTGCTTGTTAACATTAATGCACTGTGAATTAACATGAACGACTGTATTTTCATTAACATTAACAAAGATTAATAAATACTGTAATGAATGAACCATGAACAGTACATTTATGTTAGTTAATACATTAACTAACATTAACTAATGGAACCTTATTGTAAAGTGTTACCAAAATATTTGTCCTACAAACCAGTCCATTTAGAAATATGATGATGCATATCAAGCATAATAAACGACTAACTCAACTTACAAATGGCCGAAACCACCATAAATGTTAAAAATAAACGTATACGAGTCATCTATAAATACAAATAATTAATTTGTATACATGTAAATTATCCAACATTTTCAGAAATATGTATTTTTTATTTCTTATAACTTTTTTTATTTTTTACATTTTTAATAAATGTATTTATTTTTCAAAACTAACGTTTATTTATTTTTTAATCATTATTCAACTAGCCCAAATAAATGGATGTATGTAGGCTATATGCATGTATGTCTTTGTT